AAGTGCTCTGCTTCTGGTAGTGGGAAGGCTGGAAAATAACAAAAGGAGCATTTACACTGAAAAATGGGGTTAATCTTAACCTGCCTGACATGCTAAACACCTTAGTGAGAAGAAGGTCTGTGGATATTTTCAGAGAAAAGGAAATACAGGTGCACAAAATCAATGTGAAGGTTTATTGATGCAGAAAAAAATGGTAAGAGAAAAAGTGAAGCTTCAAATTATTCTCAGCTCCGAAAGGAGACATCTTGATCCTGCAGTTAAGAAAAAGTTTTTATGAATCACACAAAAATTCAGGTAAAGCCATGAATTAGAGTCATGAAACTGCATCTAGAATCGGATGGAGGGCTTTCACTTATCAAATGTGTCAATGGGTAATGGTTGAAAATTACAGTTCCCTTCTAATCTAAAAAGTGCCTATTCCTTGAACAGAAGGCCAGTCAGCATTGGTTTTTAAAGCACAATGAACACCATGTTTCTGATTTTCCTTCTTGGGCTTTTGTTTTTTTTGGTGGTTGCTGTTGTCGTTGCAATGACAAAAGAGGAGCAGCACTACGTGAAGGAAGTGCAGTTAAACCAGACTTTAGAAATTCCATGCCTTGAGGACACAACCTCAGAAAATTTGTCCAATTATCCTTTGAAGTGGCTAGTGGTAAGTATTTTTCATCTCAGGTATAAATTTCAGAAGGAACTACTGGGTATTTTTGTAGATTGAAATAGAAATGTCAGACTTTACTGCATCCTGCAGAATCTGCTAAACAAAAGATATCAGTCATGTTGGACTGTGATAGCAAAGGAAGAAGTACAAACGTGGCTTTGCAACATAGACACCACAAACAATAGCTGTTAAAGAAACAAAGAGGGAAAATTCCATCTTAATTGCTTTCAGTTTTTCAGGAGTACATGTAGAGCAGGTTTGTGGAAAGTGACAAAGAACTTTGCAAACAAAACAGAAATAAAATATTCCTTGCATTAGATTTCTCAGTTTCTCAGGGCTTTCTGCTACAGTAAAGCTTTAGTATCTCTGAAAAATACACAGTTACTGCATAGAGAAGTGAGACATCAGGCCACTTTGAAATTAAAAAAAAAAAAAGGAGGGGCTGACTGTAATGTTTTTGTTAACCTCCATGTCACAGATGCACGCCAAAGACATGTAAACCCAGTCGTCTAGTTAACCACATAAAAACTATTTTTAAGCAATTTGCCGTGAGATCTAAAGCTCGTTATATTTTTGTACTGCATCTCACTTTCTGGATAAATATTTGTATGCATGTTTTAACGTTACCTTTTGGCATTAATTTCAGTACATAGACAGAAGTCAGCCACTGCAGCGTCCTCAAGTTTGCCCGTTGATTTCTATCTCTTGTCACTGGGGGGCTGTAACTGTTGAGAGTTTTCTTAAAGGTGACTTTAAAATATTTTAGACTTTTTAATCTTTTGTCCCAGCTCGTATTCTTTTTAGATCTCCCTTTTGCAGTGCATTCTTAATTTTAAAATGCTTAAAATTTCTCTAGGGAACACCCTTGTCCTTACTATTTTTTAATGTTGCTAGTTTACTCTACAAAGTCAAGTAGGAGAGGAAGTGGGGAAAAAACCCCAAAGGTCAGCACAACGACATATGTGGGTCACTATGTGTTGTTCAGAGTACCACTTGCAAATATGTACCGAGGCACAGATGTTCAGGATGTGTTGGCTATAGCTATATATAAGTATATAAGGGTGACAGGGACGCAGGCATTAAGAGGAGATGACTTTTAGCTATTATCATCAGGTTCTTGCTGTTTAAAATCTAAAAGAACAAAGATTTTTCTTGGACTTTGAGTCGTGTTTAATATGTATAGGATGTTTAGCACAACTTAAAAATTGCTGCAGTGGGAAAGTAGCTCTGTTGCCCTCTCTGCAGTCTACAGAGATCTGGACTCACAAGACATAGCTATTTACTCCATCATTTATCGGTAAGATGATGATCACTACTGGTTTTGAAGTTCTGGGGGATTTCCTCAAAAAAAAACAAGAATGTATTTGGAAAAAATAGATGTTGCAAATGTCCACTTGCTCCTACTCAATGCTAAGGGTGCGAAGGATTTTCACAGTGGGAATAGAGCTGGTCTCAAAGCCAAGCTCAACGCTAAGGGTGTAAGAGATTTTCATTGTGGGAATAGAGCTGGTCTACAAAAATAGTTGCAGGAGGGTGTCTCGTCTTCACGCATTGTGTGGGTTGCTTTTTTCACAGGGGGAAAATGGCAGGAAAGAGGAACTTGTGACCAAGGAGCCCTCCTGCCCTGCAGTGTACAGGAACAGCAGCGCAATGTATGGGCAAAGAGTCCTCCTGGGTTTGAATAATGCTCTAAAGATTTTCCCCACCGAAATCACAGACGATGGCAGGGTGTTTTCCTGCCATGTGGTGTACCACCCGGAGAGAGTCCAGAAGAGCAGCACCACCGTGAGAGTATTCGGTAAGCGGCCTATGCCAACTGCCCACCTATTTGCACTTGGAAAGGTAGCACTCTGGTCTGGTTCTGAAGGCAACAGCTTCTGAAATACGCTGGGTTTTTTTAAATATATCTGTATTTACATTGTAATTTTTTGAGCTGAAATGAGTTAAAATGTTAGTAAATAAGCCCACAGTTCATAGAACTTGTGGCATTCAATTTCTGGCAACAAAATTAGTAGATCCATTGTGCATATATCAACACCACCAGCATGCAAATTGCCACTGTTTCACCCCAATGTATAAGCTTATGTTGGCACGTTGCGGGTTACAGGTAGAGCACCTTGGTCATCAAGCTCTCCCTGCCTCAGTTAAAAAATGGCCATGCTGCCTGTGGTTAGGAAATCACAGCCAAAATTCAGTAAGCAGCTAAAACAGTTTGGAACTACCATTGTTGCAAAGTCACATCCTTGAAGGTGTGTGGTGTCCAGCCGCTGCCAAAGGCTCTGGTTCTGGAAATGAGGTCCTGCCTTGGGGTCTCAAACTGGTCAGGAGCAACAGGGCCCAAGTACCGCAAATGTGTGGGCTGGCATGTCGTGCTGGAAGCCTTCCCCATCTTAGGTACTTGCTCTGTTCCCTTTCTAGTGGCTTAGGAACTACTCCACAACTGCTGAGGTACAATCAGATCAGAGCAACACTGCCCACTGAAAACCGGGCTGTATTTTCTGCTTATAGAGCAGTGAATCTGGAAAACATATTTCCAACACTCCTAAAATGAACGAATGTTAAATAGTGGGTCTGTCTACAGTCCCTTGATTGTAGCTGCTTGCTTGAGGAAGCTTGTAGCTTGGGGACAACACGGCCATGTGAGCCCGATGTTCTGAATGCAACAAAATATTCAACAGGAAACAGGAAAAAAAGAAAACAACAAACAAATAAGATGGCAAAACCTGCGTATAGGGCTGTTGGTCATTGACGCAAAAGACATAAAAATAGAAGTTAATGATCTGAAATTTCCTCTGGTGTTTGCATGATTCAGACATGGCTCTTACTTTTAAAAATCAACATTTGTCAAATAGCTACAGTGTTACCCAGGTAATCGTTCAAGTAGACTAACATACTTGAACTCTCTCTCTGTCTGTCCCTGCTGATGCTCTCACCTCGGTTTGTGTACCTGTTAGCCTAAGAGGTCGCTTTATTTGGCTTATTCTCTCAATTGCTGCGTCACATGTGGTTGTCTGTGCATGCACCCACATCAGCATCTTAGCACAACAGGGGAGAGCAGAAAACAAGAGAAGGCAACCATGGCCTTTGGTGGTGGGCTTTTCTGAACAGCCTGTGGTGCTCCCAGTAACTGCTGGCTGGCTTTGGAACAGAGCACTGGGTGGTCAGTGTCTCTTGTAGGTGCCTCCAGGGCAGGGTTGGGTAGAGGAGGTCCCTGAGAGCTGGTTTACGGTGGGTGCTGAGGAAGATGTCCCAGACCTCAGGCCAATAATAGAGTCCAGATCTCGGAGGAAATACTTTTTTGTGCTCTTAGCCCTTTCACAACAAATATTTTGCAGGTGAAATAACTGTTTTGCATGCTGCATGAATCTTTCCTGTTACCATTCGCTGAAATCACGATGCTTATGATTGCATCATACCGTCTTTTGTTCATTTACCTCTCTTGTGCTGCAATTGGAGGGGGAGACCACGAGCAGATGGTCCAGCACTGCCCCTGCGCCAGCCTGCACGCCCATACACTGGCAGGGCAGGAGCTGGCAGAGAACAGGCAGAGACAGTGGCCAGAATAATCCCGCAATACCCAGCTGACTTTTGGGGACAGACAAACAGCCACTTCAGACGACAGCACCTCTCTTGTTCCTGTGCCAAAGCTGACCAGGGAATGAAGAAATGAACTTTTATGTCCTAGCAGGTAGATCCAGCCTCAAAAGGCCAGGGCAGGACCTAAAATGTGATAGTAAGTGTATACGATGTCAACAGCACATTATATTGGTTTTATCAGTCATCCTGGCCATCAGAAAGGACGTGACCAGAGAACCAAGGCCAACTGAAAGATGGGGAGATTTTCCCATCTCAGCAAGTCAGCGTGCCCCTGTCGCCCAAACACTTGTGCAATTGGACCCCGTGGGACAGGTGTGGTGAAAGCAGGGCAGGGAGGGCAGGCACTCAGTGCACCAGGGCACTGTAATGGACAGGAGGAGGAGGAGAGGAAGGTTCTGTCACCTGGGGAAAGCTCCTTGTGCAGGATCCCTCCGGTAAACACTTCAGGGCTAAACACAGCAGAGACAACCCAAGTCTGAGGGGTGGCAGTGGCACTTCCCCACAGATGCTTGAGGTGGCCTGGGTATTGACTGGGAGCTGGGCAGGAGAGGACGGGGAAGGCATGAATGAGATGCTCAATGAAGTTGAGAGTCTTGATAGGATGAGTAGCAGACATTCAATTAAGAGAGCTTTTTTTCAAGAGGACACTTTTGGACGGAAATACTTTAAAATATTTATTTTCTAGAATAGTTATTTTAGATACAGGCTTCTGCAAAAATATATGGCCTTTTCGGGCTAACTTTGCCAAATATTGATTTCTCCTTTTTGTAAGGGTAAAAGCTCAGCAGCAGAAGCTCCTATACTAGATATTGAATTTCTGCTAGACACAAAACATTGGTAAATATCCTAGCAAGACAAACGAAGTCAAACTGTTAACAGCGGCTGAGACTTTAAATGGAAAAGATCTGTTAGATCTTCCCGAAAAGGAAGAAATCAGGCAAAACCACCAGGAGACCTATATGGATAAACAAAGAACTCTTGGCTAAAATCAAATACAAAAGGGGAATACACAAAGCATGGAAGCAGGGACTGGTAACCTGGGATGATTACAAGGAAGTTGCTCGTGTACTCAGAGACCAGGTTAGAAAAGCTAAGGCCCTGACAGAGTCAAATCTGGCCAGCGATATTAGAGATAACAGAAAAGGATTTTATAGGTATGTGAGAGGAAAAAGAAAAACGAGAGAGAATGTGGGGCCTCTCCGGAAGGATACGGGCGACCTGATTACTGAGGACATGGTGAAGGCTGAAATATTCAACAACTTTTTTGCCTCAGTCTTCACTGGCAACCACTCGAACCACACCTCCCAAATCACAGAGGATGTTGACTGGGTCTGGGAGAGTGAAGAACCACCCAGGGTAGGAGTAGATCAGGTCCGGGAACACCTAGAGAACCTGAAGGTGCACAAGTCCATGGGACCTGATGAGATACATCCACGGGTCCTGAAGGAACTGGTGGCTGAAGTTGCTAGGCTACTAGCCATCATATTTGAGAGATCTTGGCAGTCTGGTAAGGTTCCTACAGATTGGAAAAGGGCAAACATAACCCCCATCTTTAAAAAAGGGATAAAGGACAACCCGGGAAACTACAGACCAGTCAGCCTTACCTCTGTGCCAGGTAAAATCATGGAACAGATTCTCCTGGGAGCTGTACTAAGGCACATAAAAAATAACCAAGTGGTTGGTGACAGCCAACATGGCTTCACTAGGGGCAAGTCATGCCTGACTAATTTAGGGGCCTTCTATGACAAAGCTACAGCGCTGGTTGACATGGGTAAAGCAACAGATGTCATTTTCCTGGACTTGTGCAAGGCGCTTGACACTGTCCCACATGACTTCCTTGTCTTTAAAATGGAGAGACACGGATTTGACCGATGGACCACTCTATCAGTTAAAGAACTGACTGGACGGTCGCACTCGAAGAGATGTGATCAATGGCGCAATGTCCACATGGAGACCAGTGTCAAGCGGTGTCCCTCAGGGGTCTGTTCTGGGTCCAGTGCTGTTCAACATCTTTGTCAGCAACATGGATGACAGCATTGAGTGCACCCTCAGTAAGTTTGCCGATGACACCAAG